ATGAGCTTGAACGGCATCGCAAGTACGAACAAGTCGAAATGTACATTGAGTCGAAATGACGAATAGGGTTCCAACTCTTTCCAATATCAAATATATATATATATATATATCAAAAGAAAAGAATTGCTTTCGTTGCTCGTTCATGTTTGTGGTAAATAGTTTATTTCTTTTTGTTCGTGGAATTTGTACGGTACTCCTGATATTAGCCACATACGACACAAACTTTATATTATTATTTTATATAGCGTCGAAACTCAATCGCAAAAATTATGTGAAAAAAATATGACGTGCTTCATGATTTGTTTATGAATCTGCGAATAAGTATATCACAAATTAACACGACAAACAAAGTCTCAAACAATGAAACATTTTTAACAAATTGGAAACGATTTATGACGATTATAATTACGGGTTTAAATCGTTTAATATGAAAGAAAAGAAAATTATTTAGAACGATCTTTCACATCGATAACCGTGTGATAAACACTTGTGTTTAGAAAGAGTATCAGAAAATGTACGATAGACTCATAGATTCGATCATTAATGTAAATCGAGCCATTATTTTGCAGCATTCGAATCGTTACAGCTGCATACGATAGTACATCGATATATTATGCAAAGCTCAATGCATTTCGATTAGATAAAGAATATCTCTCTCTAAAGAGGGAAATTTAAAGCAAACTAGCTGTGTCTTAAAATCGCTTTTCGATCGATATCCTCAATATTCGATTGCCTTGTACGATATTCTGTATTTTGTAAAGTAATCCACGCAATTATACAAGTGTGTTTTTACTTATTTATTGCTGTATATATAACGATTAATTATATATGTTATTTAGAGTCGCGATGCCTATATACCATTGCCGCGCCGCGCCGTGTGAAAATTCAAGCACGATCAGCACATCCTTAAAGTGTTGATTACTTGATAAATACCAGATACCACTCGACCGCGACACGAGCAGCAAGCGTTACGGTGCATGTGGTGCATGCGTACCTATGCAATTGGCTAATAAACGTCGCGCCGCCCCGCCGTTAGAGAAAAGCACCCCGCTAAGAGCAAAGTACCCGAGCACACGACCGTTTTTCGAGGGCCACGTGCGAGGATAACTATACGAACATCATTGCCATCGCAGTAAAGTTTCATCGATACGCTAAAGTGCGTAATGTTTTCCATTCAGGAACGCAAGTCGACGCACACAAACAAAAGTCGACTCTTACAATTAGTCCCTAATTTCTTTCTCCTTGTCTCATCTGTCTTATTATATTTGCATTTCATCTAATTCATGTCCGTGTGTTCTCCAGTCGATTCAAGTTGATTCTTTTTCTACAATTTTTTCTGATTTTTTTTTACATTGCTATAAATTCTAAGCTCTTTATGATGCATTAAATTCCTAGCTGGTATCATACGGTCCAGCAAACTGCTTGTGCCAGTTCAAATATGTCTAGTCCCTTATCTGCATTCGTTCTCGAGTGGATGTGTATCTTCCTGCTTAGCTTTGCTGAATGTGATGTGATAATGTGATGAGAAATGGAGATTAAATAGCAGCGGTCTGTGCAACCACTAGTAGCCAGATTTCTACAGGGAAAAGAGGAGTTAAACATATGACACTAATTAAGGAATAGTCTCGTTATGTTTAATTAATCTCTTCTGTAGGAGAATAAGATAAATTTGGAATGCCGAGATATAAAAAAAAAATAATAGAAATTTAAAAATATCAAGATTCATAAATGAGAAATATGTATAGTGAGACGTTTTCTTTTCGTTTTATGATTCAATGCTTCAATGTATTCTTGCAAAATAGATTTATGAAAGTACAAGTTTGTAGAAATTATAATTTATATAAAGATAAATATGAAAATAAAAATCATAAAAAAGATACAAAGATTGATATCACTGTCATAAAGAATCAGTTTTTTAATTTAAATTTCTTTTTTTACATACGGAAATTAAATGTCGCGCTGAATGACACCGGACGATTACGATTTTTCAAATGTGAAAGCAGATTCGTGTCAGAAGAAACACTTTTAGAAATACGGAATCCTCAAAATATTGATCGTGTGAAAGCGTTCTGGACGTTCATTGTAGCATTGGTTATAATTCGCATGCGCATGTTTAAAATACATATCGAGAAAACATTAACAATGATTCAATCGCGTGATGCTATAAATAAGAACTGTTTCGTATTATTAGAGCAATGTTGTATTGCATCCGATTCTCTCTTTTCATCTTGTATCATATTTTTTTTCTAACCGATATATTGTGTCGAGCCGAAATATCAAGATAGAATATTGGAAAAATGTATTCAGCTTGACGTATTACGTTTCCGACGATTATTATTCCGTTTCTATTTCCGCGTGTCTCAGGCAATTGTGCACATTTGCATAAAAAAAGCGTAAAACCAGGTCACTATCACAGTATGAGGGGGAGAGAGAGAGAGAGAGAGAGAGAGAGAGAGAGAGAGAGAGAGAGAGAGAGAGAGAGAGAGAGGCTTGCAACCGCATTGTCCGTGAAGAAATGTCTTAACAAAAAGTCTAATACTCTCTCTTTTTTCCTTGTAAATGCGCGCGTCTCGTATCGCGTCACCGTTCATAGAATCCTTTCTTAACAATGGCTGAGATTGTCGGCATGCGGCGTTGGAGATGCCTTATCGCGATATCAAGCGCGATAAAAGTTTTCATCTCTCGGGCAACCGAAAGAATGCGGCGGATTTAAACGCGTTCACCGTCTTGACTTTATTCCGACATTAATTGTGCTTATAGTAGAAACGTTATCTGTATAGGTGCGCCATATTTCACAACTTTACATCAACGAGCGAGTTTTATGCGTTTTCATTAATAATCAAGAATACCGAAGCAGATTATACATTCTTCATAATCTTGGTATCTATTAATTTTGTGAAACAACGCTCAAAGGAATAAAACATGAACTGTAGTTCAAGTACAATTTCGTTTTACACTGACAGGCAAATCTTCCTGCCGTTTTTGAATATATACGTTTTATTATTAATTATTATTTGTATACCGTATTATTTATATATTTTATATTAGAATTATATAATTATATAATATATTTTTCTTCAATTATGTATTATTAATTATATATTAATTCTTTTTTTAGGTATACACACACGTACATGTTATTTGATTATAACATAGAGAATTTAAGTAAACGCATGCGAATAGATGGAATTAATAAAAATTGGTTCTTGCAGATTTGCGATTGACAGCAAAAAAGGGATAAAAAAACAAATTCTTGTGGATTGATCTATCATATTTATCAAAGTATCGGGAGCTTCGACATTTAGATAATTTAACGTTTTTTTGTTTTCGTTTTCAGTATCTTAAAATAGTTTAACAAGTCAAATATTATAAAGTATCAAGATTCTTTATAAACCTGTTTATATATCAAGCGTAGAAAGAAAGAGAGTGTATCGGTATTTCTATTAATATTTATGTCGATATGGGGTGCGATGTAACGGCGTGACCGATGCGAGCTGTCACCGACGAAACGTGGTTTAACGACACGCTCGCAGCTCGCAGCTTGTCCGGCTCGTCGCGTCACCGCGATCCGTTTTCGATTTTAATTCGCATGGATCGCGCGCGCACGTATGCATGTGTAGACACATTCATGCCATAAAACATTCTCAACGTCGCGCATCGCATCGCATCGCATCACATTGCGTCGCGTCGCGTTGCGTCGCGCCGTGCCGGCCGGCTAGCTAGGACGCCAGGACGGGGCGCCGCGTCGCGCCGGGCGGTTGGAGCGGAGCGGAGCGGAGCCGCCGCGCCGCCGCCGCTGCCGCCGCCGCGCCGGAGAAGTACGAAATTGGACGTGCGCACGCAGCGCAGCCCGTAAGGCCAGTTACAAGGCAGTCGCACTGTCGGAGCGGAGCATGCTCGCTTGTGTGCCCGCTCCGCTCTCCTCTCCGTCGATTCTCTTCTCCACGTTCTCGCTTCGGTCATCCCCTCTCTCACGGTCTCTCGCGCCGCGCCGTGTCGAAGCAGGAGCAGAGTCGGTCAATACTCCGGGCAACGCGGCGGTGAGAGCACGACGGTCCGCGTACGCACACCGCTGCGCTCCACGTCGTCGAGGGACGTCGTTTCCTTCGCCTCACATTTTCTCTATCCTTTTCTCTCTCTCTCTCTCTCTTTCTCTCCCTCTTTCTATCATACACGCTATACTCTTTCTCTCGATCTCTTTCTGTTTTTTTTTGGTCTCCGTCCCTCACTCTTTCGTCTGGCGCGCGTAATCTCGCCGTACTCCGATTCGCCAAGACGGTCGCGAAGTACGCGCCGTTCGTCGTCTCTGTCGTTGTAGCGTTTGTCTGTCCCGCTCCGGCGCGCGTCGCGCATCGTGACTCGTGAGCGCCCGGTAGTGTAAACGTCTCTGATTGTCTCTCGATAGTCCCGACGTTCTCGCACGCGTTGACGTATCCAGCGGACGACGCGACGCATTCGATCACACACATTCGACGTCGTGACGCGTACGTATACATACACGCGGCCGAACGAGTAGTGCGTAACGTAACTGGTGTATCCACGCACGCGTAAGACGCGCACGTCGTGGGAGCGCGCGAGGAGGCGGTGCGCGCAACCGCCGAGAGCGTCGTCGTCGTCACTCGTCATATCGTCGCTCCTGTCATCCGTCACCTCGTTCATTCGTTCGCGCGAGAACGCTGTAACGTGCGCGAGTATACAATGTGAAAGAAGGACACTGGGAACGCGCGGCAGGAGCAGAGATTCCCGTCGAGACTCCTCGAGTAAAGTTGGGCGAGAGACGACTCGCGCGCGCGCGCGCGTCCGCGCGCTCATCGTTCCGAGGATTTTTCAGTGATTCGCGCGTTACGGCGCGGGTCGGTTGGTGTTTACGCGTCTTCGCCGCGGAATCGGAAGAAGGAGAAGTGTTGTAATCTCGAGTGTCAAGATCAGCAATGCATCGCGGCGCGTGATGGACAGGCGAACCTTCCCAGCTAGCAGCAGCAGCGGCGGCGGCGGCGGCGGCGGCGGCGGCGGCTTCTTCTCGACCGGCAGACTCATGGATACGTGGATATTCTTCCTGTTCGTCGCCATTGCCGGTAAGTCTTGCACACTAATTTCTCGCCATTCCGTTTCATATATGCGTACGCCGTTTCTCTCCTGCGTGTCTCTTTTTTTCTGCCCACGACTGCAAGGCAGAATTCCGTATGTGTGAGGTAGATCTTTTTTCTTTTCTTCCTTCTTTCTCTCACTTTCTCTCTTTCCTCTCTCTCTCTCTCTCTCTCTCTCTTTCTCTCTTTCTTTCTTTCTTTCTACCTTTTATGTACAAGACTGCCGAAAAACTCCTCGTTTCATTTAAACGTTATTTTAGGATCTCCTGACTGATTATACTGGTATATTTACTTTTTGAAAAGTAAACAATAATACGATGCAGATTTTTAATCCGTGAAATTCTATAAACAGCTACGATTCAGATCCGATTTTCGTACGTTAGACACACGTGTCTGTATTACACATACGTTAAAGTGCAATTTACATGACCTAATTCAAATACGTTGTTTACGTTTATACGTAATAAAACATGTCATTGATGACGTTCGCAGATTATAATTATTTTAGAGAACATCTTTTGTAATATCTTAATTCTGCTTGGCTGTTGACAATTTACAATCAACTTACTCCGATTATTCTGATGAGATTAAAACTCACCTAACAATACAAGTAATATGTTTGTCAAAATTTAAATTTTATATATTTTTACGTATAAAAAGTAAAATTTTCATCGTAGCCACGTTTCAACCATTTGATTCTTGCATTTTGCAATCTTGTTTTAAATTATTCTGATTATTTCAATCAGAATATAATTATTTGATATTCTTATGATATTAGATCTTTTAAATGTAGCTTTGTTATAGCGTATATATAGATAATCTATAGCGTAGAAACAACGTACTAGAATTGGCGCTTGTAAGGGTGACAATTATAACAAAACTTGCGCGATTCTGTACTGATTACTTGAAGCACATGAAACTATGTCGATTTTTAATTATCGTAATTTTAAGCGAGATTTTTTCGTAATGGAAGACAGAGCGTATCATTAACGTGAAAAATACCTTAGTGGAGGAGTCTCTTTTTTTTTTGTGAGCGTTGTCACCGGCATTGCTCGTTTATGCGTAGGCAAGCTATAGAGTACAGTACATATATTATCATTTTAACCCGCAGAGATAACTGATCCGCGCAGTTATTTGAATTTTGTGAATCCGGATCGGAGCTCGACCTGTTGTTGATACTCATATATTTACACATTATTTATATCCTGCATATATATTTTTATGAATAGTATTGCAATAAATATTTAAGAAAAAGTTAAAGTAAGATTCAAGCTTAATTTAATAATAAGGAAAATAAGAACTAGATATATCCATATATATTGGCTTGATATACAGCTGCAGCAGAATAGTGTATGTTAAAATTTGTTATTTATATTTCTTAAATGAAAAAAAATATTGTTTCACTTGTACAGTTTAGATAAATAACGTAATTCGAGCAAAGAATTATAGCAATAATGACGCAGATTTAGGATAATATTACCTGAACTACAATAGGTGGACAATAACAGACAACTGTTGTTATCTATTATCATTTGGTAGATAGAGATATTTGTAGGAATAATAGATAGGAATCGGGTTGTGACAGGAGGTACAAATTATTAACTATATAACAATAAATGCAATGTATCCGCTGTTAAGTCTTAACTTTCCATTTGCTGCATATTTAAGGGGTATGAAAAATTATAGCTTTTTAAAATCTCTTTGAATTATTGCGAGGGGAGAGCAGTGAGGAGACCCCACGAGGAAATATCTCGTGACCTAATTTACTTCGCTATTATTATCCTTGCTTATTTCCAATCTGTTCGTCAGGCATGTAACATAAAATAGAATTGATACTCGCACAATTTTTTTTTGTAGAATCAATAATTCAGATACTTTCTAAAGCATATATGCATATACAGAGCTTAGCACTCCAGCGTGATTCGAAGATATACACTTGCATTTCGCTTTGTTCGCTGCATCGATGCGTATTATGTATGCAGCACGTGCGACACGACGAGCGTGTGAGTGCGTGATGTGGCGTCGCGTCGCGTCGCATCGCGCGTCGTGTTGCGTCGTATCGTATCGCTAACGTTGTCCTGAACGCGTTTCATTCAAGAGAGTGGCAGAAAACGATAACAGGCGAAAGAAAGATCTTACTTCCGTTACTGATCTTCACCTCGCGACCTCCCGGAGGAGGGGAGGGGGGAGGGAGGGAGGCAGGTTTTAAGTCTGATATCGTAGTCGATTAATTAATCGTGACAATAACCATTTGATAACCATTTCTACCCGCGGTAACGTTTTACGTCCTCGGTAATGTAATACTATTTGTTGTATGTTTCGTACTTCCATTTAATAATATTTACAATTTTTATTTTTACTTAATTATATATATGTACTATATTAAGATATTTACTATATTAAGTAAAAATAGAAATAAAAATTATTAAGTAAAGATATAAAACATGCAACAAGAAAATTATATTACTGAGGAAGTGGAGTAGCTATAACCGGATAATTACTGCATGGAGATTGTAATCTTTTTTTAGTGATTATGCAGAAAAGTTTTCTTTACTCATAGTATTTTTTTCCTTGTTAATGATATGATATTGTAATGTGGATATTAACAAGTATTCTCGCTTGCGTAACCCATTTTTAATCAAACACATCATAAAATTAGACTCTAATTGTTGTAATACAATTAATCTTAAAATATTAAGTTTCGGTTATATGTGTATAAAAAATAATAAAAATATATATAGTTTGTAATATCGATGCTATCGGCGGCTTTTACCCTGGATATACATATATGCAAAAAAATTTTTCGCTTTTTGCCGTAAGCTCAGCTTATGCATAACTTATACAGTCGTTATCGTGAAAAGTGAGTGGGTAAATATATATTTCCGACACTATTTAAAATCAGATAGTACAAGAAATTTGAACAAAACTTCTAAAGACGTTTTATTCTACATATTTATATATTTACGGATAAATTCAAGTTAATATATTTAGAGTTTTTTATTTTTTTTTTAAATTTGTATAGATACTGTTTCCCCAATTATGATAAAATAAAAATAAATACAAGTTATACAATTTTATACTATTTACACAAAGTTTAGTATTATGCGATTCATAAACCGCATAATACTAAAATACAAAAATGATGTTCAAAATACATGTTCGAGAGATATGTTTTTTATTTGTATCATATATATATATAATAAAACTAAAAACTTTTTGTTATTAAATTCGGAACGGTTGTTTTAATCACGTATATAAAAATTTATAAAATCCTGAATATCAATTGTATTAAGTAACTGTATTACATATATGTACCTACATATATTGACCTAATACAGTTACCTAATACAATTGATATTCAGGATTTTATAAATTTTTATATACGTGATTGAAACAACCGTTCCGAATTTAATAACAAAAAGTTTATATTTTATTGTAGAAGTTTATAAATCTAGAATCGTTTTCCAGACGAAAAATTTTAGATTTATCGTCTCGAGCATTGATATTTTTCGTATCGAGAAGGCGAAACAATGTCTTACAAGAAAATTGCATAGGCAGAATGCATATAATATACTAACAATAAGAGTGCTTTTCCAGATATTAAAGACGATTGATGTATAACAGTATGTGATACTTTTTTCTCGTCTGTGCGAAGAAAAATTTTCTAAGCGATTTAACATTTAAAAGATATTGAAATTATTGTATTTATATTTTTTTTCGAAACAAATACTTGAGCATTATCATGTATAATATTTTTGTATCAACGATAATGCTGAGACACAATAATCGTCAAAAGATGTAATGAAAAGATTAACAAAGGAAAACTGCTTTTGATTACGTGGAAGTAGCGAACGATTCTCTCGTTAAAATCCTTGACTTATATCTTACTGTCCTTTACGAGCACTATTTACTATCACATTGATCGATCATTCCATCCTTCGCTTATAACAGTGTTTCTCAATTGCCTTACACAATACTTTTTACGATTATTATATCGATAACATCGTAATTAATATGTGTACTGTGAATTTTGACATCGGCAATATAATATTTTTTTAATAATTTAAAAAAGAAAGAGACAAAATCTTTGTCGATGTATTATTATAAATGTACTTTTAATAACAAATTTTTAAAAACTTTTACAAATTGATGATTTATGTAGGTTCGCATAAAAAAAAACTGTCGTGGTTCCTTAAAATTTTTTTTATATTTTAAAATGATCGTGAATACACTTTCAAATACAAGCAAAAGTATATTATTAATATCCACATATAGAGTAATTAAACAATAATAAAAAATATCTTAGACTGAGAAAATGAGACAATTATTCTAACTCTTAACGGGTTGGTAAATCCTAACACAATAACAATATGAAAATATAAAAAAAAATGTTAAAAGACATGTAAAATCTATTGTTCTATATAGTAGGTAAAGTATTGTGTATGGACGTTGTACTTGACCGCAGCACTTCATTGACGGTAACATTCACGATTTAATACGCCAATGATGCGTGTACGGGAAAAATGATGGTGCAGCAAAGAGCCACTCCATAGAATAGAGTTTCGAATGGCAGGCGCCATTCCACTGTGCGCAGTCCGGCAGGCATTCATAGTCGTCGCAGGGAATCACGGCATGATGCCAGATGGCTGGCATTCTCGGTGACGTGCAGGAGAGGGATCAGGGAAGTTTTTCTTTGTTCCTTTTCCGTCCCTCGCCCCTTATTCCTGTTCTGTTCTTCGGACAATCTCAGGTTTTCTCTTTCTATTTCTCTCTCTCTCTCTCCCCCCCCCTCTCTCTGGAGGGAGGTTGGTTCCCGGCAAGTGTTACACCTTTTTGTCTATTCTTTCTCTTTCTCTATCTATCTATCTTGTTTGGCACATATATAATATAAGTCTTCGTTTCTCGTCTCTTCTGTTCGTGTATGGTATCTTCAATTCAAGCAGTTCAGCGCTACTGCATTTTCTCTTATATCTCAGACAGAAAAAGAG